AGTTGTCGTCGACTCCAAACAGCAAATCACCAACTGCGCATCGGTTCACACTGACGATCCGACGATTGCCGAGCATGTGGCCATCGCCCTTGCCATCCTGGAAGGTGAAAGGGAGGTCATCTATAGTGACTCTAGGTCAGCTATTCGCGCTTGCGATCGCGGTGTAATCTCCAAGAAAGCCCTGCGCGTGCTCCAGAGTGGTGGCCGCGATGGTATCAAGCACCACGTACTGATCTGGTTTCCTGCACAAGTTGGACAGGTCCAAGGTGCTCCCCCCAACCTCAACGAGTCTGCCCACGAGGCCGCGCGCGCGCTAACCAATCGCGCCGGTTTCGGGCAACGATTCGGGGTCAACGGGGTTGAGGAAAACAGGGACGCGCCTGCCACGTACAACGAAATAACAAAACATTTTTACCTTGCGCGAATACTATATCTACTCCATCATCCAAAACTTAATAGGCCACAGGCCCTTACGCTCGGGCTACTGCAGACCGACACGTACCCTAACCTGAGATCCCTTCACGCTATTTATCCTGACGTGTTCCCCAATGACGCTTGCTCCGCATATGGGGATGTATCCGCGCTGGCGCACATACTCTGGGAGTGCAAAGCAATGTACACCAACCCCAACACTACATCGGTCAGGTGGGAGGCGGCCCTACGCAGCTCCCTCCTGGCCGACCAACTTTGGGCCGTCCAGCAGGCCCGCGGAGCGGCCGATAGGCTTGGCCTAACGGTCCCGACGTGGGAGTCGCCCGCTGCGCGCTGACGCGCGCCTTGCAGGACCTCAATAAAATTTCGCAACCAACCAATGGTCTTGACGATTCGAGCCGTATGTTGGTGTGAACAGATAATCAAGAGAATATGCTACCCTAAAGATAGCATATATAGTGACTTTAGCTCACAGCAGCGCTAGTGGCCACCTAGCGTGTCCTGGCTTGCCTAGGCTTTTACGATCTCACGTCTCTTCCCACTTCTGATAAACTATATTGCATAGAGTTTTCTACAATTAACTAGAGGAGAGACTGGTGCTGCATTTGTTCAGCGACCGTGGGTATGATGTGTGGTACTGGGATTGGCCTAGTCTTCGTGCCTGCGGGCTTCAAACACACATGTTCCATTGTTCATTGCTGTGTTTTGCTTTTCTTTCGGGTGAAAGAACGAACCGCTGTGAATTTCGTCGCCCCATTTGGTGAGCCTAAAAAGGTTAAGGTGGTAAAGTGCAACTGCAGAACGTTTGGCAATTTTCGTTTCGTGACGAAGCAGCGCCAAGTTACGCGAAGCCAAATTGAGACAGAAGAACGAAGATTAGGCATATCCGTGTGCTACCCATCATTCCATTCTACGCTCGCTGATGTGCAGCGCCTAGCGGAAGTGACCTAGAATATGAGGGGGATAGAGTTAATATACAGACTGTATTTTAATTCTATGATGGTTGGGGGGTCCAAAGCAAGGAGGTTATACTAAAGATTCTGGAGTGGCGGTCCCGCATACCCGCCCATGTATCGAAGTCATCGAAGTGATGTTGCGGTGGCCATATTGCTCAGGGCAGAAAGAGGCGGCGCCTGCCTTGTAGCGCCGTAATGCTCTGGGCGCTTGCGGCCGTGCGTTTCGTTATGGCGACAAAAACACCTGTTTCATATTTTTTAGGAGGTGAGGGAACGTGGGAAGGACTTTAATGCACATCTGTTAAAATTTTTCTTTGACACTTGGCGTTTTAAGCGTGTTAAAAAACGCCAGGCCTACACGGAACGCGCACCGCAGTCGCAACAAAAGCTAGTAAAAGCGGCCTTTCAGAGCCTTTTCTAAACACTCTTTGGGAGGCTACAAGGACACTGCTGGGTATTCACGGCGCCATAAATATTCATAAATTTTCTGTTGTAGGCTAGCATTCCCTATGCTATCCAATCTGTGGGAAATCGTACGCGGTTTCTGCTACACACTTGTTGCAAATTTCGTGCATTTTTTCAAGCAGTGGCTGATGGCGATGCAGAAGTATGCATGAAGTGGTTATGTGCCACAGTTAACACGTGATCAAGAACGAGTGTTCTAATAGGTGGGAGCATTGGACGCAGCGGTCCGCGGTGGCACAAATGCCGCTGTATCGGTTCTGTTGAAACGGCAAGCAGTGACTGCAGAGGCCACCATCCTCTTGAGCCCCAACGCAAACACCAGCGCTTCATATCGGCTTACCGCTTTTGGTGTTGGAAATATTCATGTCGCCGTTGGCATTGCTACGCAACTGCAAACGACTAGATATGTGGTTGTTTAACTTATGTGTGAGCGTGCACGGCTTCGTACGTACGAGTATATTAAGCCCCACTTCATGACGTCTCGCTCAATAATAAAAAAAATTAAAGCATTCACCTTGCATCCACATGCATCGCGTAACATCGATTTCCATTGTACGCGGGATCTGCCGAATTTTTCTAATGGGAAAGTTTGCGTGGCTGTGCGGAATTATTTCAACAAAACCAATCGGTTAACTAGCTAATTCATAATAATACCCATCTGTGTTGACATATATGTACAATTTTAATAGTGTACTGATTTTTTTTATTACCAATAAAAGAGAGCAATAGCTTTCTTGTTTTGGTACATCTTTCCGAGCAAAAACTGGATACAAGATATGCAATTTTATTGTATAACCTCATTTATTCTAAAGTTTCATAACATTTCATGATATCACTCAATTCTTGGGCCATCCCCCACAGTGGGTGTGGGCCTAAGTTGAAGGAAAACAATAACCAGGTGGGGCTCGGCTGGACGCAGCCTAATTCAAGCAGGAACGTTAAGAAAGTCATTTGATGCCAGCGCGGCGCGCATTCGAGCATCGTCAGCATGAACGGGCCTAATGGAGTCAATGGACTGACTGGTCTGCCAGACACGGTGGGCGTCAACTTATACTGGAACTACTGGCCTATGGAGATGGCAGACCTTTTGGAAAGAATCAGAAACTTCAAACACTATCTGCCGCGTGGAGACCATTTCAATTCATCTTATAGCATATGGCTGCACACATTCGGAGTGCCACCACCGGTGCCCAAGAGTCAGGTGCGGAGCGCTCTGCCCGCGCCAGAGCACGATTCTCCGTCCATGGAACAACTCTTCTACAGGGAACACTTCGCGACGGCACGACGGACGCAGGCTGAAACGAGCGAGTTCCGAAGCAAGAACAACGTCACCGTCAGAGGACGAGCAGTTCCGACGCCCATTTTGCAACTTTACGAAGCCAACTTGCCGGAATGCGTCGCCGAAGCTGCCGCCTGCGCTCTCAAACACGGCCCTCTCACCGCCTTGCAGTCGCAGTGCTGGCCCGTGGCACTTCGCGGCAGGGACCTCCTCGCGATCTCACACAACCGGGCTCAAGCGAACGAGCAGGCCTACCTTGTACCAGCCATCGTCCGCGCTGTGCACCAGCCATCTACTGGCAATGGTCTTGTTACGCTCATACTCGTTCCGACCCTCGAGGTGGCGGAGAAAATTCAACGTCTGGTTGCGGACTTGGAGATGTACACCGGTGTTCGTTCCGTGTGCCTGTGCTCGGGTGATTGGAAGGAAAGACAGCTGAAGATACTTAAGAAGGCGAGTTACGGGATGTGGATCGCGACGCCTAGCCGTTTGCTATCGTTCTTGAAGGAAGGGAAGGTGAAAATTAGCGGCTGTACACTTCTAGTGCTGGATGAAGCTGACCGCATGTTGGCGATGGGCTTCGAGAAAACGCTTCGCTCCATCGCTGCCGTCGTCCGACCTGATCGCCAGACGCTCGTATTGGCAAACTCTGCATCGAGGGAGGTTGGAGACCTTGCCGATTTCTTGCTCAGAGACCACGTCCAGGTTACCATCGGATACAGCAAGCTGGCAGAGAACGAGAGGGTCGAGCAGACAGTTATCGTATGTGAGAAACCTCGCAAACTGGATCGGCTCGTCACCTTGTTTGAGGACATTCTCAAAAAAAAGGATGACAAGGTCATCGTCTTCGTCGAGACTAGGTCAAACGTGGAAAAGACCGTGTTTGAACTACAGCTGCGGGGCTGGTCTGTCACCGGCATCCACGGCGCGAAGACGAGGGACGAGCGACGGCGGGCTATGGACGCGTTCAAGTCGGGTCTGTCGAGCATTCTCGTGGTGACCGACGTTGCAGCTCAGCAGGTGGACGTCGGCTGCGTGCGCTACGTCGTCCATTACGACCGCCCGGCGAACGCAGACGTCTACGTGAACCGCGTGAACTGCGCGTCGCACTGCGACAGATCGGGAGTGGCGTACGCCTTTCTTGCTCCCGACGATGCCCGTCACGCGAAAGAGCTCGTCTTTTACCTGCGAGACGCCGGCCAGGAGGTTGATCCTCACCTAGTCCAAATCGCCGAGAGGGAATCGCATTTTAAGAGGCGCAAAGCAGGACGCTTGTCCCATTGAACGGTGTCCTCATAGCCGTGTGCTCTCCATAAATCTTTGGTGGTGATAGTCATGAAATTTTCACTTTTACAAGAACAAAATCGTAGCTTACTTAAAATGTAATGCTGTGTGCTCCAGCATGCGTTCTCGCTTGCTATTTTTCCAAGACCTTGCATCTTGCCGAATGGGAAGGTGGATATAAACTTGTAAATGTCATATAGTAAAGTGACTGAACAGTTAGTTGTTTCTACTCAATGCAAACATTTTATTTATTTATTCTGAATACTGCCAGTCTTTTCCGAAACTATAGCAGGTGGGCATACATTGTTGACAAGCAAGTAAATTTTAGATTGCGACTCATGTGTTGCTGAACGAAAGACAGCTTGAACGCCTTTCTTCTGTTTCTTCCAAATACCTACCTAGCCACGTATACGTCTGGGTGCAGTCGCGGTCGTCTTTTTTGCTTGGTATATCCCAAAATCAACGTATGAAGATATGAGTGTATGACGAGCACGAGTCACAGGTTATGACACCACAATGTGAATCGTCAATCGCGTACTTCATGAAACCCTTTCCGCGGGAGAGGGGTAACACAAATCTCCATATAAAGCCTGTTCACAAGCGAGTGATTTTTTTTTCTAAGAGCTTAGCGGCAGATGTCGCACGAGCCCAAACACGACAGTGAGGAGGCCACCCCTAGCTCACCATTTGAAACGTCCGAGCTGATTATGTTTGACGTAAGCAACTGATTTATACAGTTTGAGGTATACGCATTATCATGGCAGTGCAAAAAACAGAAAACTAGAAAATCTGTCTTGGTGACCATCACCCACACAGATTGCATAGGTGAAAATTGCGTAGGTGACCATCCTTACCGCGATGGCACGTTCCATTGTAACCAATGAAACGCAGCGCGCTGATGGGTGGATTTGACCGTTTCGTAGTGTTGGCTCATTCAAAACGGGGCTGTCGAAGGAAGGGAAGGTGAAAATTAGCGGCTGTACACTTCTAGTGCTGGATGAAGCTGACCGCATGTGGCGATGGGCTTCGAGAAAACGCTTCGCTCCATCGCTGCCGTCGTCCGACCTGATCGCCAGACGCTCGTATTGGCAAACTCTGCATCGAGGGAGGTTGGAAACCTTGCCAATTTCTTGCTCAGAGACCACGTCATGGTTACCATCGGATACAGCAAGCTGGCAGAGAACGAGAGGGTCGAGCAGACAGTTATCGTATGTGAGAAACCTCGCAAACTGGATCGGCTCGTCACCTTGTTTGAGGACATTCTCAAAAAGAAGGATGACAAGGTCATCGTCTTCGTCGAGACTAGGTCGAACGTGGACAAGACCGTGTTTGAACTACAGCTGCGGGGCTGGTCTGTCGCCGGCATCCACGGCGCGAAGACGAGGGACGAGCGACGGCGGGCGATGGACGCGTTCAAGTCGGGTCTGTCGAGCATTCTCGTGGTGACCGACGTTGCAGCTCAGCAGGTGGACGTCGGCTGCGTGCGCTACGTCGTCCATTACGACCGCCCGGCGAACGCGGACGTCTACGTGAACCGCGTGAACTGCGCGTCGCACTGCGACGGATCGGGAGTGGCGTACGCCTTTCTCGCTCCCGACGATGCCCGTCACGCGAAAGAGCTCGTCTTTTACCTGCGAGACGCCGGCCAGGAGGTTGATCCTCACCTAGTCCAAATCGCCGAGAGGGAATCGCATTTTGAGAGGCGCAAAGCAGGACGCTTGTCCCATTGAACGGTGTCCTCATAGCCGTGTGCTCTCCGCGAATCCCTGGTGGCGATAGTGATGAAATTTTCCCTTTTACAAGAACAAAATCGTAGCTTATTTAAAATGTAATGCTGTGTGCTCCAGCATGCGTTCTCGCTTGCTATTTTTCCAAGACCTTGCATCTTGCCGAATGGGAAGGTGGATATAAACTTGTAAATGTCATATAGTAAAGTGACTGAACAGTTAGTTGTTTCTACTCAATGCAAATATTTTATTTATTTTGAATTCTGCCAGCTTTTTTTCGAAACTATAGAAGGTGGGCATACATTGTTGACAAGCAAGTAAATTTTAGATTGCGACTCATGTGTTGCTGAACGATCGACAGCTTGAACGCCTTTCTTTCTGTTTCTTCTATATACCTACCTAGCCACGATACGTCTGGGTGCAGTCGCGGTCGTCTTTTTGCTCGTATATCCCAAATCAACGTATGAGGATATGAGTGTATGACGAGCACGAGTCACAGGTTATGACACCAACCATGTGAACCGTCAATCGCGTACTTCATGAAACCCTTTCCGCGGGAGAGGGGTAACACAAATCTCCATATAAAGCCTGTTTCACAAGCGAGTGATTTTTTTTTCTAAGAGCTTAGCGGCAGATGTCGCACGAGCCCAAACACGACAGTGAGGAGGCCACCCCTAGCTCACCATTTGAAACGTCCGAGCTGATTATGTTTGACGTAAGCTACTGATTTATACAGTTTGAGGTATACGCATTATCATGGCAGTGCAAAAAAAAATAGAAAACTAGAAAATCTGTGTTGGTGACCCACACAGATTGCATAGGTGAAAATTGCGTAGGTGACCATCCTTAACGTGATGGCACGTTCCATTGTAACCAATGAAACGCAGCGCGCTGATGGGTGGATTTGCCGTTTCGTAGTGTTTGGCTCATTCAAAACGGGGCTGTCAACAGAGCTCGGAAAAATTCCGAGTTTCGCCAAGATCGGATCATACTGCATAGCACCCCATGCTATTTTTTTTCAAAACTGGTACAGAAAGCAAAATTGCCGTATGTTGCACCAAGCACGGACGCACCCCCGCCTGTATATGACGTCACCTTTTCTTATCCCTTACGCTATCCCTTACGCTCATCGTGATAAAGTGCAAACGGAACCAGAATGCTTATTCAACGAAGGTATGTGATCGCCCATGGTACATTTTGAGTGGGCATCATTAATCATGGCTCTGCTGAAAAAAAAAAAAGACGGGTTGCTCCGCTTCTTGCAGTGAACTACAATTAATGCTGCCTACATAACTGAGTAGTATCCACAGCCTAAGACCGGGGGTATTTTCGCATGGCTTCCCGGGGTATCTCTTCTCACTATATTGGACCTGAAAGACGCATATCATATAACCAACTGCCATTGGATGGCGAAGCGAAGAAGCTGGCCGTAATAAACACGCAAAAGGGGCTGTTCCGCTATAAAACTCATCCGTGCGTATCTGCCTTGGCTCTCGCGATTTTCAGTGGCGCATGGAAACAGTCCTGGCTGGCGGTCCAACCGAGCAGGTGTACTTCGCTGACGTATATATAGCGAAACGTCAAGAGTACAACGACTCGGTGATCCAGCATGTTTTGCGCCGACTTCAAAAGAATGATGTCAAGTTGAAGAAAAAAAGGCAGCTTCCCACTGAAAGGTGCCGAGCCCTTTTTGGGAGGTGAGGGGCAGCAGCTGTAACATACAAGGATGCTTTCTAAGCCTTCACTCTTTTTATATATACTGCAGCTACATTCAGCTATCTCGTGCTGTCTTAGAAGTAACGGGCCAAACCTATAGTGCCGTCCCGAGCTGTCAACGTGGGTTAACCATTTATACGTTCACCGGAACTTTCACCAATGTCTGCTTTTGTCTGTCTGTTGACAAGCGGAATGTGCAGTGTGAGAGTGCATCGACATACCACGACTTCGCTGCCAGCTCTCGGGGCCACATATTGGTCCACCGAAACTCGGCCTTCAGATTATCTCCAGAGGCCGAGTTTCGCGTCTTGACGTAAACACTATGCGAGTGCAAGTCTTGGAATAGTTTTCATCATGAGCTCGATGTTATCACCGCAAAAATTACCAAATTTCTCGCACCAAGCAAAATACATCGTTTACGCGTTTCAACGCGCGAAGACAGCGTACGAATTTCCACAGAATTTGAGCTTTGGTTGACTCGTTACATCAACCAATTTCATTATTTAGTGTTTTCGAAACGTGGCCCAGGAGTTTACATGCTAGTCTATACGCTTTTTGTAACTACCAAGCTTAATACTGCCACCGCATTTCAGATCGCCATGCTGGTTCTGCCCTATGCATTTTACCAGACATTCCTTATACGAATCTTGCCCTTCAGTTACATCACTGTGGATTGGTATGGACTGAAATTAATGTACAGCGAAAATCGCGGAATGGTACTTTTATCCCCGATTTAATCTACCGCTTCCCATGTTCATCCGTTCCTGTTTCCTTGAGTGGGCATATTGCTTGAGGGTAAGCAAGTTTTAATTCTTGTCGATATTGATATTCATTTAATAGACATCGATAGTGGCATTACAACTGCATATACTGACTGTTCAGCTATGGTTTCCGATTGGAATAAATAATTACTTATCTCGCTAGGTATTCTACACATGAAAGCTATACTCTTCTTCATCGTACCTTAACTAACATCGCACCGTCTCCACCAGCGGGTCCCAGAGATACGCACATCACAGTCCACTTACCTGCATTTGTCTCAAGTCTGATGGTAAATCCTCTGTCTAACCTACTTTTTCTCAAAGTTAGACCGTAATGGCTTCGTTAGTACCACATCAGGTATGAATTGGTCATCAATTAAATTCATGGAAGGGCTACAACTTGCTCTTGAAAGTTTTTGTTCCATGATTTCAGAAGCAGTCTGCACGAACACATCATCATCATCATCAAGCCCATTACGCCCATTGCAGAGCAAACGCCTTTCATAATCCGCCAATCAACACGGTATCGCACTTTCTGCTGCCACATTATACCCGCGAACTTTTTAATCTCGTCGGTCCACCTAACTTTCTGTATACCCTTAGTGCCTTTTCTAGGAATCCAGTCAGTTAGCCCTAATGACCAGCTGTTATCGTGGCTACGCCCTATACGCGCCTGACCCATGTCCAATGCTTTTTATCAATTTCAACTATATCTTTTTACCCCGGTTTCTTCCCTGGCTCACTTTGTTCTCTTCTTGTCTCTTAAGGTTATGCCTCTCATTTTCCTTTTCATCGCTTGCTGCGTCGTCTTCAATTGATCTCTTTCGTTACCGCGTGAAAATGGTTGTTTTTCATATCTCTCGGGAAGATCGTGCTTGCCGGTTTGAAAAGTACTCCAGCGAACATTGCAGCATACTTTGCACAATGAAATGTTTTTTTTTCAAAAATTATATGTTGTAGAGCAACAAAAATATCTAAAATGAATAAAAATGTAACGAGTGTGTATTTTCGGTTGTCAACTGGCCACAGTGCAATGAAAACACTATATATTCAAAACTATGTTCACTAAAGAATATTCAGAACATGAATTTTGTAGAAAAATGACCCAGCAACAGTATAGGAAATAATGAATGCTGTACCAAATATTCCTCTTCACATATACAAAGAAAGTTAGAACAGAGGTGCTGCTTCGTTGCTCGCGCCATGCGGTGCATAGTTTTTTCGTGAGTCACTATGAGCTCATACACTTTTCTCAGTAAATTTTTGTTGTGTTGCGATAAGCCTCCAGTTGTTCTAATATAGATGGATGCGCGCGATGTGAATGATCTCTCTATGAATGAGATGTTCAATGAACTTCGCTATTTCATCTAGCATGACCTCCTTCCATGAGCCACCTCCCTCGAAATAGGTTGGCGTCCAAAACATGCATCCAAGCATATTTATTTACAGTTCTACGCATATCGTATTTAAAAAAAAGAACAGTGTCACGCGCAGTTCTTAAACGTTGCGCACTGCTCCATAGTCAGGGCCACGATGTGCTCCGGGGGCCATCTTGTCATTAGGTGAAGCTCTGCAGCCGGCGCCAGCACACTGCATCCCAACGAAGTGTGGACCTCACACGTAATCAGAGTATAGCTATAAGATTGTGCACAAGTGTTGGAAGCTATACGCACATACGGCGGAGGAGACAACCTGAGGATGTAAACAAAAAAAAACATGATCGGCTGTGAATGTCGATCAGGCTGAAGCGAAACATCGTCGCCATAAAGCTTTCGAGCTCAGGTGCTGTCATCCTCAAACTCTATAAGCTCGTCTTCGCTCAGTTCAGGTGCAAGACAGTTTCGAGCAGCGCATGTGTTTTGCAGCGCTGGTGCGCACCCATGCGCACGTGACAATGACGTCACAGGAGTGACTATGGGGACACTAGATGCGACACTGTGGCTGATAAAAGAATGCAAGCAAAGCCAAAACTGCTAGAAACTGTCAGAGAAGACCACCTCGACTTTTTGAACACACGGTTTACCTTCGTAAATATTTTTGTAGACAAATTTTCTCTGGCTCTCTATTGAATAGCTGGTATAATCTTCTGGCAATTGTTACTGCTCAACATCGTCGAATTGCGAAGTTGACACCTTCATGCAATTTTTGGCTTGAAAAGGTTCTTCTCTTTACAGGACTTCAGTGTAACTGTAGCATAATGACGATGGGCACGCACTTCTGTGAAATTCACCCGCCTGATGCACTTTTCTAGCAATACACGCACATTGGTTCGCGCAAAGTTACGTCCAAAATTACTATGTTGCCAAAGCGGGCAGATTAAAATTGATTCTGAAAGTTGAGTGGCATAGTTTTGATGGAGGCGAAAATGCTGTAGGTTAACGTCCTCAGATTTCGGTGCAAGTTAAAGAACCCCGTGTGGTCGTAATTTCTAGAGCCCTCCACTATGGCGTATCTCATAATCATGTGGTGGTTTGGGGACGTTAAACCTCACATATTAAATAAAATCAACAATAATGTCAGATAACA